CCGAGATAGCAGTGGCAAATTTGTAGGTGTTTGCGACACGGGAGGGAGGGGGGTTGAGCCTTTTTCAGCAAGGTACAGTGCGGAGCCTGTTCTACTGGTGGGTGCCCGACCCCACGTTCATTGACATGCGGCTCTGTCAAGAAGTGCTGCTACCTCCTGCGTGTACACTCGGGGACAAATTGTTCGCTTAATACTTATGGGGCGAAGAAAGACGGAACAAAGCATGGAACGGTTTGGTACTTCGGCGCGCAGCTAGGTGATCAACATGTCTGTAAAGCACGCAAACAAATATTTCCAATAGGGGGGAAAGGAAGGGTGGAAGGGTGGAAGGATGGAAGGATGGAAGGATGGAAGGATGATGGAAGGATGGAAGGAAGGAAGGACGGAAGGAAGGAAGAAGGAAGAGGAAGGAAGACGTGATCCAGCTGATGCTTGGTGCTGCTGCGTAACTGGACTGGGGTTAATGCCCCCAAACCAAGCTTCAACGTATCCGAAAGCATGTTTTTGCAAGCCATAAACACTTCCTTTTAACCCAACAGGAATCAAGGTTCATCGCACGCATGCCCTCGGCACCTGAAACAAACCTCAATCCCACTCGAAACCAAGTATGAACCCGGGCTTAACACCCTAAACCCTAGGCCTATAGGCCTATGTACCCGCAAAACTATCCTAAGCCTGCGCTTGGGCCCAGCTTCAACCAGCCTCCATTAAGCCCATGCTTGAGGCATGCAGATATCAAGCAAGTCAATGACAGAAGCGGGCGAAGTCCCGCGGAGTTCTTTCTTGGCGTGAAGGCACAAGTTTTTGAGTATGCGATTGCAGTTGTTGAGCGCGCGCAATTGCCAGGCTTCCACTTTCTTTGCCAGTCGTGCTTTTCCATTTCCCCGGCCCTGCGGATGTGTGAGGGATTCATTGGGTAGGTCGGGATGCTGTCAAGGCGGACATGTTTGCTTTTCCAAAGTCTTGGCCGTGGCAAAAAATATGTTCGAAAACTGAATTTTTTCTGGCAGACTCGATGCCTACACATAATGATGAGTTGTCAAAAGTCCGTGCTCAGCAGACTTGTGGGAAAGTACATGAACATCTATCCGGGTGAGGAGTTCTCAAGTGTCTGTCAAGGCGGCACGCTTTTAACACCAACAAATCACAACCTATGCGCTGGCTTCGCGCGAGTGCCGCGCTTGCATTTTACCTTTACAGTCATGCAACCTATATTGCCCTTGTGCGGCCAGAGCATGGAACTCGCGCGTAGCGCAGCCTGTTTTCAAGGAGTCATACTGCGGTCAGACATGGCTTGGAGCTTGCAGCAAAAGTTCCGAAGAACGGATGGCCCTGTTTACTGCGCCAAGGCGAACTGCACTGACTTGCGCGTGATGGGGCAGCAAAGTGCTTGGCGTAATCTGCGCAACTAAGTGAGAGCTGCTAAGCAGCTGGTCCGGAACGAGCTACTCAACGGGCGCTAGCATGGCGCTAGCACGGCGCCAGCCGAAGTGACGTAGAAAGGCTTTACGCGAGGTGTGGCCCACTGTGTGGTGCAGATGCTGACAGGAAGAAACTGCGAGATGTGGCCGTTTCCCCGAGAACGCCAGACACCCCCGGCAACCAGCAAACCTACAGAATCGCGGCCAGCACCATCGAAGTGTCCCAAACCGTTCATTTTGCATACGAGCCCTCAAAACAGAAGGGGTTGCATTTTTACCCTACCCTGCTGATGCATTGCGTCGTGCGCAAACATGCGCTAACAGACGTGCTAATCGCGCTGATTGGGAGACACTGGCCTAAGCGTGTTGTTTGGTCAGGGCTTGTAAAATGTGCAGATTTGGCGATTTGCCGCCCAAAAACGTAACATCACTGCCTTGAACAGAACATCGGCGGTGCCTCGGGATTGAATTTGGAACAACTACATGTTTTTTGGAACACTAAGAACATGGCAGTACTGTTGATCCGGGACTCCTTTTCTGGCCATTCCTGTCTTGGGACCTTTCCCCCCCATTTTGTGGTGGCATCCTGGGTGCCTTTGTCTTCACTTTCGTCTCCAGTTGGTCAGCCATTTTTGGCTGAGAGGGTCCCTTTGCACCGGTCGCACAACTGGCCGTGGGTTTTTGGTAGCTAAGGCTGCCATCGCCGGTGGTCTTCCCTCGGCACAGCGCAAGCGCCTGGGCACGCGGGGACAAGAGCACCGGGGCGGCCGGCAGCTACATTGCCAAGATGGCGAGCAAAAGTCTGTGACCAAATTGTCCAGTAGCAACCTTTGCTCTTTGGAGTCCCCCTGACCCTTCAGATTTTCCAAACCGCCCACCCTTGATTCCCCTGTAACCCTGATTTGTGAAGCCACAAAACCCTTGGAGTTTTCTGGGGTTCCCCCCGAACTGTTAACCCCCCTTTGCAGCAGAAGCCTTTCCGGGCTTCACTTGCGAGTTTGGCGTTTTGCTCTTCGCAAGTTTGTCCAAACCTTTTGAAATCCAGTAATTTGTGCATTTTTTGCGTTGACCACACCAACATGGTGTTTTGTTTGCGAGAAAGCGTTTGGTCAAGGAAAGAGAACAGGGAGAAGTGGCAGAGCTGGGTGCCGATCAAGACCGCCTGCTTTGAGGGCTTTGGCTTGATCGATGCGCAAGGTGGGATTCGAGACCAAAATGGAGAACCAGCGCCCGTGTTCTTTTTTGTCCTTTTTTACTGAGTAAGTGGAGGCCTCCTGGCAAGGGTCTCAGAGTTGGGCAACAAGAAGTTGAAACATGTGTGAACCACGGCCTTCTTCTTTGTTTCCCTGGCCCTGTCGGGTCTGGTTAGACAGATGTTGCCAAGCCTTTGCCTTCCACAACTCTAGAAGCGGAAGGCGTAGACTGTCTGGGTTACTCCTCTTCCTCCCCATCGCCGCAAGCGCACCATCCCCACAGCTTCAGCGCCACTGCAGCCAAGAAGCCATTCTTTTGCTCTTCAGGGGTTTTATGACTCTAGGTGCCCCAGTAGTGCCCTTGTACCCTTTTTTTCCCTGCTCAAATAGACTACAGGAAAGTTGGTACCCTTCTTCTAGCCTCTACTGGAGGACCTAGGACGTCTGTTGGGGTCCTTGAGGCGGCTTCGTCGACAATCGCACGCTGGCCACAGAGTGCGGCCTGTGCCCCGCTGGGAGGGCCTCGGAGGAATTGGTGGACCTCACTGGCAGGAGGGCTGACCCATCTATTTTTCACAGCCGCGCTCCCTGGGGAAAAAATATCAAAACAAACTCAAGCCTCACTTCCTGAGTTTATGGACTTTACTTGAACTTTTTGGAACGGCCATTTTAGGGGTAAACAACCAGTTTGGTCGTTGGTCGCCTTTATTTGGCCAGCCTTTCAGCAGGACCTTCCGGTGTGCCCAATGCCCGCCGGGCTATTACCAGTCCAACACCTACTCCACCAGCTGCGAGCCATGCTCAAAGGCGCGGCCTTGGTTCTCGCTTCTCGTCGCGAGCGCGCAAGCGTGAGAGCGGCGGTGTCTCACTTCTTGAGTTATGTTTGGGACTTGATCGTCACTGCTTGGGTTTGGACCAGTTTAGTGGTAAATAAGCCGTTTGGACTTTTGTGGCCCAGGAAGTTATTTTTATTTGCCGGGGTTTTTGGTAGACCATTTTAAGACCGGCTTTGATGGTGCAGCAAAATTATGTGAAGACAGCCCTTGCCAGGGCACCTATAGCAACTCCTACGGCAACGTGCAATGCCAGTATTGCGACCAGGGCTTCTATCAAGAGCAGCCCAGCCCAATTGGTTGCAGCTGTTTTTGTTTGAGGGCCTTCACTTTTGAGTAACTTGTTGATTGATTTGCACAGTGAAGTGCGGATGGCGGAGCTTCGCAAGTGAGGCAGCAGGCGCAGACCTCATGCACGAAGTGTCCAGCAAGCAGGACCACGCAGCTCTTGGGGGCAACAAGCCTCACGTCCTGCGTTTGTACGGAGAGCCACATTGACGACGGCGGCGCCTCGCCCCTAACCAATGGATTCATTTTTCCAGATCCTCTATTTCTTGACCAACCGTGCGGTTGCACGAGGTGCCGCAAGAAAAGGATTTTTCGGCACTCGGGGCACTCGGGGCACTCAGCCGGACCGGTGACCGGATGGGCCGAATCATTCCCTCCGAGGTGTTTGCGCCGTGTGCGGCGAGGGGCTTTCTTGCCCTTTGGGCAGCACCCTATCGCTGCTCAAGAGCGTGAATGGCACCAACGCGCAGCTCCCACACGTGCCTCGGGCACGGGCCCTTGACAGGGTCTTTGTTTTACACATGTTTGGTACTCTCACGTGCTAACTCCATTCTGCCATTCAATAAACAATAATCAGGCTGAGAACAGATTTCGGAGGGCGGCGCCGGATAGTGGAGTAAGGAAATTGAATTGAGCAGTATATGTGGCGCACTTTTGGATCTCGACTGGGGCGTCGTTTCTGAGAGCATTCTTGTCACAACTAGAAGTTCCGCGCAAACTCAAGAATAAGTGGCATAACCCACCCGGAGCTCAGAATTGCTCCTTGTCAGAGCCGTTTTCAGCCTTGGAAAACTTAGGGGTTGCGTCGTAAAAGGTGAGCAATAAGTGCATGTTTCGAATTGGGAGGGCCAAATGCAGGGCGACCGGAAAGCCCTGTTTTGCACATACCTGCTTTAATCACATTTATTGAATTGCTGCTTTACCTGTCAGTTGGAATTCTGATATCAGAAGAGTTCGGTCCACACAGGGCCCGGAATCGTTCAATGAGTGTGTCTCGAGATGTTCGAGTTGCCACCAGGCCCAAGCAATTGCCTAAGCCAATAGCTTTGGCCATTCAGAAACTGTACAGAAATCCACCCACTCTGAACCAGAAGTGCTTTGCCACACGTTACGTTGTTTTTTTTTTAGAGCAGAAAAAAGAATGCGTTTGAATAGTTGGTTTCAACTGCCAAACCGGAAGCCAGGTGTTTTCAGACATTTGTGCCAGGTGCTGAGCGGCTACCGCAGTGAACCGACGACACCCTTGCAAGTCTACAAGTGCCAGGATAGCTACATGGTTGCTGTTGGGAAACATTTTACATTTTTGCTCATTGTGGTTTAGTTGGAAATTTCAGTTTTTAGTGTTTGCCATTAATTTCAGTTTTAGTTGCTTAAGCATTTTTTGCTCCCCTTCCAACGTCAACCAAGACTACTGTCCCGGTGGCCCCCCTGGAACTTGCGAGGGCGGCCGCCAAGGCGGGGCGATCGCCATAGTGCCCCGAAGCCTTGCATGGGGATGGTGGCCCCCCTGGCCTTTTGGCCATCCCAAGCTGTTGGCTTTGCTCTTAATTTGAGAAGACCAGTTGGGTAACACGAGGCCGACAACTCCAGTTCTCCCTTGTACCAGTACCAGTGTTCGTCACTTGTTTCAACAGTGTTTCCATGGCGATTGCAGGGCTTGGGCTTTTGGCTCATTTGAGCAGCAGCCATTTTCCACTTGTTTCTGGCCGATGGGCGAGTTGAGTAGCGTTTTTTCTCCCCCATTACGTATGTAAAGGTACGGAAACTATTCTTCGATATTCTTGGAAATGCCCTGCGCGCCAAAGTCGCGGAAACCCGCGGAAGCTTTGCGGAAAGGTTTTTTCTTTTTTTCCTCGGAAGCTCGCGGAAGGTTTACGAAGTACGATTGTCTGTGCTGGCAGTGTAGCTTGTCGAACAAGCAAATGAAAAAGGAGCCAAGGATAAAGCAGATTTGTTTTGAGTGGATTGTGTGCCCATTCGGGTTGCAGACTAGGGTCTGGAAAGAAGTTGAGTTCGGGTGAAAGAGAGAGGTTTGCGCATGCGTTTCGGGTCGTCGCGAACCCAAAACGCAGAATCCCAAACGCGGGTTTGCGCGGAAGCTTCGCGGAAGGCCCGCGGAAGCGGCGCCCGATCTTTCCCACCAGCCCTTTCGTTGGCCACGTCGACCCAATACCCAGACGTTCCACTCCCCACAGCAAGGGGGAAAGCACTTAAGGAAGCAAAAGAACAAGTCAGCAAGTAAGCAAGCAAACGCGCAAGCAGCAGGTTCGAAAACTATGCCAAAACCGTGGTCGTGGAAGCGAAAGGCCTCTTAATGTTAAAACTCATGTCCGCGGAAGCTTGCAGAAGCAATTTCTCTGACAAAACGCTTCGCGGAAGGTACCCCTGCAGCCCGCGGAAGCTCCGCAGAAGGGTCGGAGGAAAGTTGAATAAATTCAATTGAATTAGAAGGGAATAAATTAGCACTACTCAGTTGTGTTCCCACACTGCCGTTCACACAGATGAGAATGAAGGTGTGACGTATTTGTTCCAACAGGTTGGGCCCCGTTCTCATTTCGGGGGTGCGGGGATTTGGTTTTCCGGAAGGGAAAATGCCGTCGGCAGGTGTGACCTGTGGGGATTGCCCGGCGGACCACTACTGGGCCAGCAACGAGTGCACGCGCTGCGGCGCCGTGATGTGGGCTTGGAGTCCCTGCCAAATAGCTCGTTTCGTTTTTGTCCCCCAAACAAAGCCACAAGAGGAGGGATATGGGGGTTGATCAATATTCTGGCCCCCCCCCATGCTCATGCTTGTAGCTTCCCCCAATTGTCATCCTATGGAAAAAGGACCGTTTGATCTTTTTGTGTTTTCCGCCCAGGCCCGGGGTTTCGATCAGAGCCCAGAAAAACATGTGCCGTTTGGTTGCACTGAGGATCCTGGCGTTGCTCATGCTGATCGGGGGCATCTTCAGCTCATACTACCTGCTCACCTCCTCATACACCGCAAAGGCCTCCGTGATGGCATGCACCACTGCCAGCCTTTCGGCCGAAAACTTTTGAGGAAGCCGGCAAGCTCACTGCTGAACTTGAAGCTTTTGGGGTGTGGTTGCCATTTTATTTTAGTGATAAAGAACAAGTTTGTGTTAGTTTTGTTTTGCCAGTCCACTCAGGGCGAGGCGCCGAGAGCAGGCCATTCAAAATCACAGAATCAGTGATTTTGAAGTGAGGGGCTTTGGGGCGAGTAAAGCACAGGGAAGCGCCAAGGACTTTCGCACGCACATCAGCATTGGAGTTGTTTTTTGGCACAGCAAAAACGGTGAGCCAAGCTATGCTGAAAGCCGAAAGCTGAAAGCCGAATGCCGAGGCTTGGGCATGATGCTTGCCTTGTTCCAGAACTTGGGGGTCTTGAGCACGGTGGATGTTCGCTGGCCAGGCGAAATTGCGAACCTGCTCGCGCTGCTTGGCTTTGAGCACTTGACCACAGTTGAAAACAGGGGTGCCTATATGTCCCTGTTCGGAGGTTTTAAACATCACCGTTTTGGCCCATGAAAGGTGGGTGTCCCTTGGTGGGGGTGATGTTTTAAGGGGTAATATAGGGAGCCCTGTGAAAGCCCTTGGAGACAGTTGTGTCGAGTGAATTGCAAGAATGGCAACTTTGGAGCCGTCAGATGCGAGCGCTTTGTGAGGATTTTGGCTGCAGACTGCTTGAGCATGGTGCATGCTCTTGAACAGCTCCTCTGGACAACTATAAATCTATGAACTGCAGCAGGGGATTGTTGAACTAAATTTTGAACATTCTCACAACATTCATGCAGAGGCACAGGATGGTTTTGGAAGACTACAAGTATCTTCAGAAGGCCTCCTGTCCACCAGGATTGTTGGGGGCACATAGTTCCGGTGGGTGCACAGCTATGGCCTTGGTGCAGGTGTTTCGTTTTGTTTGTTTTCCGGGATCTGAAGTGAGATTGCGCACCTCGTGTTGAATTGCTCTTGGGGTTATGCTCCGGTTTTCTTCATCTCACTCCCTGAGTGCCTGGACTGCTTCGGAAAACTTTGTTTGCAATTTCACAGATGGTCTTCCATTTTGGTTATGAATATTGTGTTGTATTTTCCCTGTTGGTTTTTTAAGGGAATCTATCCCACTGGAAGCAGTTGTTTTCCAGGGGACTTAAGCCAATGGAGGTAGTTCAGACTCGGCCAATCCACTCAGGAAGAGGGACACCCATATTTCTGTCAGCATTTTCCGGCTGGCAGGAATCACATGCCTTTCGCGCATGCCTTTCTGCAGGCGGAGCCCCAGGTTTCATGTTGGAAGGAACACCCCCCCAAAAGAAAAAACAAGGACGCGTTTTTTTGAAACCATAGCTAGCTATGCCCGGTTACCCCAGTTTCCATTTGCTTAATAGGTCTTATTTCACCTGTTGGTTAGATATCACTAGGTACTGGACATATTTTCACAGTTTTTTTTGGTTGGGGACTTCAGCAAATGGAGGTGAATTAGAAGCAAAGAAGCTGGGTTGGATAGGAGCGCGCCTGAAGACGATCCCGGGGACCCATCAATTGGTCCAAAATCACGGAGGTTGCTCCTTATATACGCACCACACAAGCGCCATACTAGGATCTACTGACCAAGCGTCGAGCTTCTTTCTGAGTGGCCGTCCGAATTGGATTAGAGACGCCTTCTTGCGACTGTGTGCAAGCAAACATGTTGCGATCCTTTCACCTTTTCAACTCGGTCAAGGGGCATTCGCGCTGAGGTTTGCTTCCATCTTCACGTTCAACTTGGATGCCCTCGGGTTCGGTTGTCTCTCCCATGGCACCCAAGTTGCCAAATGGCACCTTTTGTCCCTGCGATGTTTGTTTTGTTAGGTTCTGTCTATCTTTCTTACTGTCTTTTTTATTTCTGTCTTTTTGTTTGCCATTTCTTTGTCAATCCTTGTTGTTGGTCTCTCTTGTTCGGTCATGTTATTGTTTCTCTGTTTGCCTTTGGGCTTTTTCTGTAACGACTGTTTGTGTTTTGTTTTCCTTTATTATTATGCATGTGGTGTGCCTTTCTTCTGCCATACCTGTCTATGTGTTTCTTTTTTGGTATTGTTTATTTCCCTTTGTGCTTTTATGTTCACTTGTTTGTTCTTTGTCTTGTTCTTGCTTTCCTTTGCATATCGTGCTAATTATTTACCTCGGTTTTCTCTCTCTCTCTCTCTCGCTGTATTCATTTTTATGTGTCTTTTTGATGTTTGATGTCTTTCTCTTGCTTTCACTTTCTTTCCCTTTCCTGTTTCTAGTTGTTCTTTCTGCATCTTCATGTTTCTTTATTTATGTTTGTGTCTCGTTCTTTCTCTTTTGTTCTCTGTCCTTTGCTTGATATTTGTGTTTGTATTTCTTGTTATTTATGTTTGGTTGTGTCAAGTTTTATTTATACGTTGAGTTGGTTTGTTTCTTTTGTCGTATGTCTCATGTGTTTCCTCCTGTTCTTTTTTTTTTGTTTCTTAATTATCTGTTCAAATTATTGTAATTCATTATTTTCATGTTTGTTCATTTTGTTCATTTGTTGTTTTGCTTCTTGTGTTTTCCGTATGTTCCTTCGTGTCATCTCTTGTGGTTTACTTCTTTATCTTTTATTTTTCTTGCCTTGTGCATTCCTCTAGAATTCTGTGTTCTGTCTTTTTTTTTTCCGCTTTTCAGTTTGTGCTTTTTTTTGTCTGTTCCTTTATGTTTCTTTCTCTTTCTGTACCTTTTTTGTCTGTTTGTTTCCTTCTTGTCTTTATTTTTCTTGTTTTGTTCTTGCTTTCCTTTTTTTTTCTCGGATTGTTGTCAGTAAACAACGTCAGCCAAAAGCAAGCGTATCCGTTTGAGCCCTGGCTGAGGCAACGTTTATCGCTACACGAGCACCGCACTGTTCTTCCTGGTAGTGGTCCTGGCTCTACCCATCACCGGCGCCCTCACACGCCTGCTGTGGATCATGAAGAAGCACGGCTTGGCCTGGGAGAAGTTCAAGACTTACAGCGACTTGGCTGAAGGCAAGATTCAATGTTAACCCCGGATGAATAAACCCCTGGTTGATTAATAGGGGGACACCCCCTTTTAGTGGTTGGGTTCAGACCACTTGTGGAGGGAACCACCCCCCCAATTAGGTCAAAAACTTCAGCTATGGACCTGGCTGAAATTTCTGCAAACTTTAGCTACGCATTTTTCACCACCCTGTTTTCAGGGGTTCCACCCCCTTTACCACTTTTTCATGGGGCTGGGGGGGAGGGAGCCTAAATAGGCCCTAAGGCCTTATTAAGGGCTTAACAAGGGCTTAACAAGGGCTTGTTTGGGTTCCCTCCCCCTCCCCTCCCTCCCCCCCCTGCCCCCATGACTTTTACGTTCCGTAAAGCATGGGAAAGAACCAACTGATGGCTATGTGGCCATGAATGTGTATGAGTTGGAAGCCCAAAAAGTGGTGGACACGTATCCTATATCCCCAGTTGAACCTTGGCCTTAGGGGAGCCTTTGAAGCGGGGAAGCTTTCTACGTGACAAAAGTACTGTGGTTGCAAAATCGTAATGGGAGTGGTTCCTGTTTTTGAGAGCGCCACATTTTTTGGTGGCAAAGGGAAGCCAAATGGAACCAACCCTTGTTGACCGTACTGTTGCAACAGGTCAGACAACGGAGCAGAATGTGGTACGTACCTGCCGTTGCTTTTTTTGCATGCACCCTTACCTTCTCAAGTTCCTTAGGAGTTGGTCATGGCAACATGACAAGCGCGGGTTTTGCAGCACCGCCATTTGCTCGAGTCGAATTGAGCTGAGGGAGCGCTGGCAGGCCAAGCTCGAGTCAAGCTAACCTGGGTCTTTTTTCTTAGGGCAACCTCTTTTGGTTGGCTAGAATTGAAGCAAAAGGAAAAGCTGGGGGTTCCCTTACTTCAAGACAAACCCAAATCAATCTTCAATCCTCATATTGCAGTGTCCCGTGGTGTCCCTTGCAGTCGCGTTCCACGAACGGATCGGATTGGGGTGCCTCTATGTTCAACAACCCGGCCAGTAGAATGAAGCATGAAACACAACTGGTTCAACGTTTGTGCATGTTTGTTCAAGGTACAGTGTTTTAAACTGTGCTTAAAGGGAACCTAAACAAGGGAAGGCACGTTAAATAGGGGTCACCCCTATTTTGACACATACCCACTTTGCTGGGCAAGACTTAGATCCCTTGCATCTGAAGCACTCACCCAGCCAATGGACACACTTTACACTGTTTTCCTTGGTGGCTCTCCCTTTATTTTAGTGGTGGCCCAAAAAGTGTGCATTTTTGTTGGGCTGGTCACTCGCCAAGTGCTCTCGCATGGAACACTGGTTCCAAACAAAATCCGAGGCACAACAGGCCAATTCTTGCAAGTGAGCTTCACCACCATGGCGAATGTGGGCTTAATGCCCTTCATGTGCTACAAGCATCCCACTGGACAAGAGAGCGTCCTGAAGTACACCGAGGTTCTCTGTGGCTTCTTGGCATGGCACTTTTCGGGGCGGGGCCCTGGATTTCGGTCCGATTCAAATGCCCAGTTGCCCAGTGGCGCGCCCTTTCTCCTTTTTGGCAAGGGTTTCCCTGGAAGCTCAACCAACCAAACAAGGATGCCTCTTTTTCCCCAGATAGCTAAAAGCTATAGGGGTTCTAACTTCTATTAAAGAAGGGAAAATTATTTGCGAGATTGAGGGCCGGTTGCTGGGGGGCATGCAGTTTGGGGTGCTGGTGGAGGGTGCTAGGGGGCATGCAGTTTGGGGTGTTGTGTTGCGAGATTGACGGCCAAGTGCGAGGGGTCATGTAGTTTGGGGTGCTGGTGGAGGTGCTGTTTTGCGAGATTGACGGACGGGTGCTAGGGGGCATGTGGTTTGGGGTGCTGGTGGAGGTGCTGTTTTGCAAGATTGACGGCCAAGTGCTAGAAGTCATGTGGTTTGGGGTGCTGGTGGAGGTGCTGTTTTGCAAGATTGACGGCCAAGTGCTAGAAGTCATGTGGTTTGGGGTGCTGGTGGAGGTGCTGTTTTGCGAGATTGACGGCCGGGTGCTGGGGGGCATGTAGTTTGGAGTGCTGGTGGAGGTGCTGTTTTGCGAGCTTGACGGCGGGGTGCTAGGGGGCATGCAGTTTCGGGTGCTGGTGGAGGCGCCGCTTTGCGAGATAGGGGGCATGTATTTTTGAGTGTTGGTGGAGGTGCTGTTTTGCGAGCTTGACGGCCGGTGCCTGTTCTGTTAGAGGCGCTGATGGACAGCGGGGGGGCACTCAGTTTGGGGGGCTGTTTGAGGTGCTAGTGATGGTGCAGGCGCTTGCAAGATTGATGGCCACATGCAGTTTGGGGAGCTGATGCAGCTGTTTTGGGGTACTGTTTGGGGTGTTGTACGTCGGAGATTGCCGGCGGACTGGTGGCAGGGTGCTAGGGCGGGTGCTGTTTGGGTCGCGGTTGTCGCAGCATGATCATGATGCCGGCCGCAGCATCATGATGCTGTCCGCAGCATCATGATGCTGTTGAACCGATTCGGACGTTGTTGCTGCTTTAACCGTGGCTGGTGTATCATCATGATGTTGATGCTGACTTTCATTACACTGTCGCAAGATGATTCGTGGCTGTGGTGTCATCAGGATGCTGCATTTGCCACCACCATGATGCTGTGAGCATCATCATGATGCTGTCCGCATCATCATGATGCTGTCGAACTCATCAGGACGTCGTCTCTGCCTTTTTTCTGCTAGATATGTAGCGCGGAATCGTACGTGGCTGGTGTCTCATAGCGGCTGAGTAGCAGTGGTATTTTCATGATGCTGTCAACATCACCAAGATGCTGTCAACATCATCATCATGCCGCGGGAATTATTATGATGCTGCGTCATGGTTCGTAGCCGTGGTGTGCTAGCTGGGGTCTATGCTGGTGTAATTGTTTTTTTGCATGGCCAGGCATCTGAGAAATGATCAGCAAATCCTTCCTTCTCTGGCAGGGGACGGCACGGATTTCCAGTTCTCCGTCCGGAGCTCAGGATCCGGCGAGCACTTGGTCATGAAGATCGTCGGCAGTATGGTTATGTCGCTCGCGGGGGTCTTCTTCTCGGTGTGCTGCTATGCGGCCTGGGTGGCACCGTGACTTGGCAGAGATTCCCGGGCTAGGGAGGGAGTAAAAAAGTATGTGCCCTTGTTGGACCCTGCCACCTTTCGCGGGCCCCAAAGCAAAAAAAAAAGACAACCTCCAAAGTCAAGTGCGCAGTCACCAGAGCAATGGGAACAGAGGAACCCTTGCGCAATGACCAGGATGACCACTCTCGCAACGTGTAGTTCTTCCCTCCTTCAACAGGGCGCCCGCACGGCTGGTGCAGCCCACATGCCACAAACCTTTCCCGGGCGTTTCACGCCCATAGTGGACAGGGCTTACGGCCAATGTTTTGTGACACGAAGGGAATCCACTTCACGATTCACAGTGATAAAGTAGTTGCGGGAATGACCCTCCTTGGTGTCACACTCCAACTGAAAGCTACAGAGCCAGGGCATCTGTGTTTCAGCCTAATAATGTCATCCCAAGCAATTGCCGGCTTCCTTTTTTCAGATAGCGCCATACAATTAGAGTATAGAGTAGCCTCAACTCAACTGTTGTTACCAAAAGCCAAAAGCGTGCAGGCCCCTTGCATTTCCCAGCGCTTGGATGCCGTTCATAGGAGTTTGTCTGGGAGACCGTCCATTGCCACCATCCGATTCCTGGTCTTCCGCTTCAGGCAGGCGCTGGACTTGGTATGATACTAGAAGTACTAATTAACAAATGCTTGTACTCACTACCAATGATCATCCTTGTTCTTAGGGTGGGCAGGAGACGTAGCACTTGTTGTTAATGTTGTTGTTGTTGTTGTTGCTGCTGCTGCTGCTGCTGTTGTTGTTGTTGTTGTTGTTGTTGTTGTTGTTGTTGTTGTTGTTGTTGTTGTTGTTGTTGTTGTTGTTGTTGTTGGTTGTTGTTGTTGTTGTTGTTGTTGTTGTTGTTGTTGTTGTTGTTGTTGTTGTTGTTGTTGTTGTTGTTGTTGTTGTCGTCGTCGTCGTCGTCGTCGTCGTCGTCGTTGTGTGTTGTTGTGTGTTGTGGTTGTGGTTGTGGTTGTTGTTGTTGTTGTTGTCGTCGTGGTTGTGGTTGTGGTTGTGGTTGTTGTGGTTGTTGTGGTTGTTGTGGTTGTTGTTGTTGTTGTTGGTGTTGTTGTTGTTGTTGTTGTTGTTGTTGTTGTTGTTGTTGTTGTTGTTGTTGTTGTTGTTGTTGTTGTTCTTGTTGTTGTTGTTGTTGTTGTTGTTGTTGTTGTTGTTGTTGTTGTTGTTGTTGTTGTCGGTGGTGGTGTTGTTGGTGTTGTTGGTGTTGCTGGTGTTGCTGGTGTTGTTGTTGGTGTTGGTGGTGGTGGGGTGGTGTGCTTGTGGTGCTTGTGGTGCTTGTGGTGCTTGTGGTGCTTGTGGTGTTGGTGTCGGTTTTGGTGTTGGTGTTGTTGCTGCTGTTGCTGTTGCTGTTGCTGTTGCTGTTCCTCTTGCTGTTGTTGTTGCTTGTGTTGTTGTTCTTGTTGGTGTTGTTATTGTTGTTCTTGTTTTTTGTTGTTGCTGTTTTTGTTGTTCTTCTTCTTGTTTACTTTCGGTTTTCTTCACGTGTTTTCTTGTATATTCTTGTGTGTTATTCTTCTTGTTCTTCTTGTTGTTATTGTTGTTTTAGTTATTCTTCTTCTTCTGGTTATTCTTGTTTTTTTTTTTGTTTTTTTTTGTGGTTCTTGTTCTTTTTTCCTACTTGTCCTTCTTGTTATTCTTGTTGTTCTTGTTATTGGTCTTGTTCTTGTTGGTGGTAGTGAGCAGTAGTAGCAGTAGCAGCATCAGCAGTAGCAGCAGTAGTAGTTGTAGTAGTTAGTAGCAAGTAGTAGTAAGTACTAAGAAGTAGTAGTAGTAGTACTAGTAGTAGTAGTAGCACTAGTAGTAGTAGTAGTAGTAGTAGCAGCAGCAGTAGTAGCAGTAGCAGTAGTAGTAGTAGCAGTGGTAATAGTAGTAGTAGTAGTAGTAGTAGTAGCAGTAGAAGCAGCATCAACAGCAGCAGCAGCACTCGGAATAGTAGAAGCAGCTGCAGGAGCAGCAGCAGCAGCAATAGGAGTAGCAGCAGTAGTAGCAGTAGTAGTTGCAGTAGTAGTAGTAGTAGTAGTAGTGGTTGTCCTGGTAGTTTGTGGGACAAATGGCCCACCCACTTCGTGTGTTGGACATGGGAAAGGGGGTTGTGCAAGGCCAAAACTGAGCCCAGCCAGCTGTGTTTGCCAGTGTGTCCCCAGACGCAACAGGGTCTTGCCTTTTCGCTGTTTGAAGCAATGATTGCCGGGGTGACACGAGCGGCAGCGCAACCTGGCAGGCCCGATGTGTGGTGGTTTGGCGTGATCTTGCTGGGAAGGGGGCCCTTGCTGTCCCTGCCAGCTGTTGTGGCAACCGACACCCCGGCCCTGCACTTGGTTCTCATGCTTGGCATCCTGCTGCTTGCCATCAAATTGAGTTCGGTCGACAAATCCACCAGGGGGCGCGACTAATTCCAACAGGAGTCGCAAGTTCTTGGTCCAGAGTGAGGCAAGGCACGCCACACACCGCACTTGCTTTTCTTGCTTCGACAGTAGGCTGCCTGCTGGCTTTGCTCGCTGGTGTTGCTATCGAGCCGGTGGTTCAGGCTTCACCCTTCTGTTGCGTGCGCAAGATTGGGTTGCTTGAACAACCCGGTGCAGGAGTAGAGCCATGATTCTTTACTATGTGGATCCAGGCGAATCATGTTTGGTGCGAATCCCCGGACGACTGGTCCGAAGCTCTGGCATTGCAAAGGGCCCGAAATCCCAACAGTTGTTGAAGGGAGATGGAACACTCCGGTGTTGCCTCCTGGCAGTGGCTTGCGGTCAGCGCGAATGCTTGCCCAGTTCATGAAGAGTTGTTTTGTTTGAGGGATCAAGACCCAGTCAAAGCTGCCTTCATCTGACATGGGGTTTGTTTGACAGGCCACGCTGCACAGGCTCCTGTTCGCATTCCGTGGGGCTGTGAAACACTTGGCTAATCTTGGCTACATTTTCCGCGCAACAAGGGATGTGATTGTTGCGTAGCAAGTGGCAGCGAGGCACTTCAGCGGTGCTAACTGGCGGCACTGAGTTTCAACCGGGAAATGCACGTTTTGCGCGGGCGTTTGCTAGGCACACTTCTGAGCAGCCGCCTTTCAGAGCAGACGTATGGCTTGGAAAGCTTTTCGCTTTTCAATGACTTGGAAGCGCCAGCTGAATTGAATGAGAAGTTGTGACTACAGACGCGGGGTTGCGGAACGCTGCCTTCAATCGGAACGGTTAAAGTTGTTTGGGCCCTGCCTTTTCACGTAGGAGTAGGAGTGCAGGCGCCTCGTCAAATCAGCGTCATCTCACAAAGGACACTGAGTTGCACGAAGGTGTGCCGGAGGCAATCTGAATTTAAGGTTTGACTGTGGTTTACGGAAGCTGCTTTCCACCAAATATCCTTGACCACCCTGCGCTGAGTGAGATATGGCTGCAAGCTGCAAGCGTGTGTGAGCACAGTGTAGTGAATGTGCACCGGCAAACACAGGCAATCAAGCAAGCCAGCGCAAACTAACAAGCAACCCAACTAGCTACTGTAACTAATTGTCAAGTAAGCCCAGAAGCAAGCAAACAGGCAAGCAAGCAAGCAGGCAGGCAGGCAAGCAAGCTTGCAAGGTTGCAACTCCACGCGGGCACGTGCAGTCTGGCACGCACTCACGCATCCCTGAACACACACAGACAAGAACACCCTCGCGCGAGTCCTTTCGAAACAAAAGTGCAGCTTTGCGTTTGCCGAGGGTCATGTTGTCGTCTGAGGTTGACATCATTGGTTCTGCAGGTGTGGTTTCTGCCGCTTGGCCCAGTTCTCGTACTTTTTTTGTTGTCTTCTGTTTTCTCTACATGTCTGCCAGCTAAAATGTCCGGCGGAAGGATCCCGGTGTTTTGTTATGGAAAAACCCGCCCTGGCGCGTCTTTGGGATAAAGGCCATGGAAGTCGCCCATCCTGAACCTCGTGGACGCAGCGACGGTTTCTTTGATGGTGATGCTCTTGGCAACCTCCTTGGGACTGGTAAATACCGCCGGAGACGTGGCACTTCTACAAACCTGTGCGCCTGCGCCAAGTTGCTTTTCGTGTTTTCTGCCAACGGTCGAAGCTGGTTTGCTAGGGTTTGCCTTCAAATACCATTCCAAAGAGGTCTGACATTTGAGGATGTGTCTTTAACGCGATGTTTGACCACGTTGTTCGGGTTCGCGTCGCTGGGGCTCCTTGTTTGTTTGCGATCGAAGCTGAAGGCGACCGTCGCATCATGCACCATGATCGGCATTCTGGCGCTCATGCTTTGCTTGTCCGCGGTCGCGCTGGTGCAGCGCCACGCTCTGGGCAGCCAGCAGCCATGGCTCATGCTGTGTGAGGGTGGGATGGCCAACCTCCCTGTTTGAAGGCGGTGGTTTTGGGTAACGGAGAATTGCTCGGACAGCATAAGACCTGGTCGCACCACCCAAGTTGGGCGGCACCGGGACCGCTCCAGCCGTCCCGTGGAAACCTCAAAACCGTGCGACTGAACATGCGTTTATGCATCAACGAATTGTTTGAACAAGCTCCGTTTGGCTTTGAAGGGGGTGAGTAGGGCTGTTTGCAGATGTTTTGCCCAGTTCTAGTTGTGAGGGATGTACTAATCATTCTTCTTCCTTCTAGGTTCGGCAAGATGGCAAGCTTGGCTGACGCAGCTACAGCTGCTTCCTTCCTTGCAAGGCATAACTTTTGAATGCCCCCATTCATAGTGAGATGTATGAGGTTTGCCCGGCCATTGTTTCCTGGCGCATCCCAGGCAAGAAATGTGGCTTCTGAACCTGGGTCGCTTGCCGGATGCCAACGAAGTCTTTTCGAACCTGACAGACATCGGGGAGTCTCTGAGTGAGGCCCAGAGATTCCCAGTGCTGATATAGCCATGGATATCCACCGTAGGCCAGCTATCCTTGATCTTGGTCTGCCCAACGCCTGTATAGTCAAATCATAGTTTTCAGCAGTTTGGCATGGGTTGTGCCATGTTAGTTTGGGGTGCTTGTTGCGTTTGGCTCTCTTTGTCAGGCCTCGTCTTCGAACAGGGCGAAGGAGATGGTATCGAGACTCGAGAAGCTTTCGGTCTATGACGTGAATGTGGTCTTGCGCGCAATGGATGTCCTAGCTGACGACCTGGACCTTTGGATGAGTGGGTTCCATTCTTTGGACCTGTTTGGACAAGCGGGGCTTTGAATTCGAGCGCAGTTTTTGTGGGATCAAGGGGTTTCTCCCCACTTCTGTGATACAAGGGAATCCCCCCTTTATATGAAGAAAATAGTCTTTGGGAAGCCCTTTCTGTTGTATCACAGAAGTGGTCATTCCCCACAGCCCTGGTCGGATCTGATACTGTAAGATGTTTTTGGTTCACAAATAGCGGGATTTGTTTGGTTGCCTGTTGCCGGCGAGTGTGGCATCTTTGGTGACGAGTGTTACTGAAGCTTGAGATCCTGGGGGCTGGCAAAGGCAAGCGAACCCACCGGGCCTTGAAAAGTTTCCGCTTGGAGGCTGAATCTTCGTGTACAACTGGGGTTGAAGCCCCTGTTAAAGCTGTCCATGGATATTTCCCCAAACCGGATTCCGGAACTTTGTGTGAAAAGGCGAGGTGAAATGACCATCCTGGTTGCTTCTAGAGCATGGAAGCTGCCCTGGGGAAAGAGCAGCTGGGAAGGCCATTTCCCCAGCAGGATTTGTCTAGCAGCTCCCTTCTGGACAAAGAACCACATTTGGTGGGAAGATATCAAGTTCTGGTACTAGATGGAGACAGAGAAGGCGAGCAAGATAGGGAGAAGGAGGGTTAGAGAGATACGGGATAGAGAGAAAGGGGGGTAGAGGGATACAGGCATAGAGAGATAGAGAGAGAGAGAGAGAGCGATGGACAGATAGAGAAAGCAAGATAGATAGATAGGTCAATTGCTTGCTAGATAGATTGCTAGATAGATTGCTAGATAGACAGATAGGTGGGTAGGTAGGTAGATAGGTAGGAAAAGAGAAGGAGAAAGAGACAGATAAAGTGAAAAGGCTTGAACGAGAAGAACAAGAGAACAGAAAGAGGCAGAGAAAGAGAGAAACACAAAAAGAGAGACAACTATAGTTTTTATGTGTTTGAAACTTCCGCCAACCGGCGTTGCCGACACTACTAATTGGTATGATGTCAAAATGTATACTGTATACGTATACACACATACATACATATGTATACATTTGTTCAATGTGTTTAGATACAAACATCATAAAAAAGCTCTTGTTTGGGAGGGCGTACTTGGTTTCACAAGCTCCTGCAGGAAATGGAGATGTCTCGTGCCTTTGCGTACAGCTCCCGCATCTCCATGGCCATTCGGAGCTGCCGGTCCGGTGACTCCGCGAAGAGCCTCGCAAGAGAATCTTGGGTTTGGGCCCAACTCACGAGCGGGACACATCCACAGACCAGCAGCCCCCAACCAGTGCTTTTTAGCCAGTACTTGGGATTTGGAGATGGGACAGTTTTTGTGCGAAAGAGTTGTTTGGGGGGTGCTGGTAAATGAAACCCACACATCTGCAAATAATGAGAAGGGTCAGGATAATCAGGGGAACACTGTGTGTAGTTCTTCAGATCCGACAAAACATTACCCGTCCAATCCGGAAACAAACGTGGAACCCGAAGAAGGTTTCGAGAGGAAACTGATCTAGGGAGTCCCGTTTGCTTCCATGCTTGTGCAGTGCCCAAACATAGCTGCTCCTTGGGCTGTTGCATTTTCAACTCTCATGAATCTGGACGGTCTCTTGATCCGAAGTTGACATCAGATCTATGTTGCGGAAGCGCCGGTCACGAACAAGGTAGGGCGCAATGTCCGCTTTATTCGGTTCACTTCAGCCATCAAAGACATATCCAAAGGGTTGTTGTTCCAGAAAGGAGTCACCCCGGAATGATCCAGGAATCTGTGGCATTACTTGGCGAAGGTTCTAGTTTTAAGATTGCCGCTGGGAGGTAGAGATTGGAAACATCAAAATAAGTATTTAGTTAATATTATTAGCAAATGAAATAGTGAATGGGAATAGTGAGTTAGAACAATTGCAAATGGAAATCGTGAATGGAAATAGTGAATGGACATACGCCTACATGGCGAGGTGACTAGGTGCAGGTGAGTTGTGCTAAAGCTTAGGCCCTTAGGCTTAGAAAAGCAAAGCGAAACAATGTTTGTATGCGAAAGGGAAGCCCTCGACTCGATTAGCCCCAAGTCTGCCCAACGCAACGCCCGCAATTTCCATAAGCGCCAATTCACTAAATATCACTAATTCCATTCACTATGTTGTTCACTACTTGTTTGCTCAAGATTGCAGTCTTTTCAACAGGAAAAAGCAAAAATTACTAACCTGCATTCAATTTCACTAAATTTCATGAAAGTCAATGAAATTTCAGAAAGATATTCATACAATTTCATTAAATTTCACTAAATGTCACTACATTTCACTGAATTTCACTAAATGTCATTGAATTTCGCAAGCCCAAATTAGTTAAATTTAGCGAAAGTTAGTGAAAGTCAATGACATTTAGCGAAATTTATGAAATTCAATGAACTTTTAGAAAGAGATTCATACAATTTCACTAAATTTCACAAAGTTTCATTAATTTGATTTAGCGAAAATTAGTGAACTGTAGTGAATTGAAATAGTGAAAACTAATGAATTTTTGAGGTTCAATTTCCACAAATCGGCAAACTGTTGCTATTCAAATTAGTGAAATAAATTAGCGAATGCTGGCCCCGCCTGTTGGGGAAGCCGCTGGCAGGCCCTCTTATCACAAATGCAAAGACCAATTGGCTCCTTTGCTCAATTCACAAACCTGGAAACCCACATTCTCAATTCACTAATTGAAGTCAGAAACTGCAAATCCATGTTTCCCAATTCACATTTTTTCTTTCACTGAATATTTCACTCACTATTTTGATTCACAAACTATTTCACTATGTTTCACTCATTTAATTCAATACATGTGTTTCAGTGTCTGCCTGGTCCGGCAATCTTAATTCTAGTTCTTTTGGTATGTTTCATCGTAACATGAATTTGCTTGGGAGTTGGATTTGTAATGCCCAACACTTGAAACATCGTCCACCGAATACGGATAATTGTGAGTGGCTGGAGGATGCTGGAGGGACTATGCCCCGTGAATCCGCAGTGGATTGTTAAGGTGGCTCAGGGTCGGGCAGTTGCCAGGTGTTCGAGCGAGTTTGGGTACAAGCAGTTGTTCAGGTTTCCCTTGAACGCGAAGAGTCCGATTCTTTCGGCCGCTTTTCCTTCGGCAAGTCCCTCGCTTGAATCGTCAACCTCTGAGGTTCGACCGGGAGGTGAGTCAGGCGAACCAACACGTGCCCGAGGCCAATGAGAAAATGTCTTTGCCAGCTCTTGGTCCCAATGAAGTAACATGGCTGTGACATTGCCAACCAAGCGGCACCCAAAACATGCAAACCTCGGCGTATCCCGAACAGCTGCTGGTGCTTAGTAGGGAATGAGAAATGGAATGACCCGTGCAACCCATCCAAATGGTGGTTTCGTTCAATGGGGATGTCTGGGTTCATTCCCATGAGCGCCAGCAAGTGAATTGGGCTGCAGGGGTTGGGGGTGCCGCCAGTATCAGCTAGCTTGCGTGGCGCTCGGCAATCACTTTGGCGGATGCACTCGGAGCGCTCGATCCGAAAAAACCAACGGTGTTAGGGTGTCATCTCTGCAACGCAGTTGCATAATCACGTTTGTGCACGCCCTGGTCAGGCACATCATTCAAGGCAAAGCTGTGATCTAACACCGGCCCCAGTTTCAATTGTGCTGCAGCATGCGTAACCAGCACAGGAAAACTGTGCTGCAGCATGCGTATCCAGCTGTGCTCCAGCATGCGTAACCAGCACAGGAAAACTGTGCTGCAGCATGCGTAACCAGCACAGGAAAACTGTGCTGCAGCATGCGCATCCAGCACCGGAAAACTGTGCTCCAGCATGCGTAACCAGCACAGGAAAACTGTGCTGCAGCATGCGTATCCAGCTGTGCTCCAGCATGCGTAACCAGCACAGGAAAACTGTGCTGCAGCATGCGTATATAACCAGCACAGGAAGACTCTGCTCCAGCATGTGCATATCGCGCAGGAAAACTGTGCTCCAGCATGGGTCACTAATTTTAGACGACCCTTGCTACTTTTTGGATGCTTCCTTGGCTGAGGGTCGTTTGAGGACATGTCTGGTTGAAAAGCGATGGCGGCTGGTTTCAGTTTAATTTTCTTACAAGTGTGATCTATGTGTCCACGAAAACACCCCAGCCTTTTTTCTTGCCGGCTGGCAAGAAGGGCTGAGCAACGTTGCAACATGAGTGTAGTTTTTTCTTGGAGCAGAGTCTGCCGTCGGACGACCAGCAGACGGTTGTACTTCATCTTCATATTTGCTTAGGGAGCAGCGCTGTCCGAATTATGGAGAGCAGAACGCATTCTGGGAGCGAAACTTTGTCAACGCAAATGGTACTTCCGTGTGCTGACGTTTATCTACTTTTACACTGCTGGAGGCAAGGCACTGAGGTTTTTCCAGATTCCAGTTGCAGCTGGCCAAAGAAGGTGCATGCGCTAGAGATTTTGCCCGGGCATGGCTCACGAGCTCTTGGAGTTTATACTTTCTGGAAGACAATATCAGTGGTAAGTAAGAAGTTCAGACTTTTGTTTGGGCCCACTCTGGAAGCCAATGGCCGCGGATCGCCTTGTGTCTGTTTTTCGGCCCTAGCCTCACACCAAAGCAAGTCAGGCTCAATCATGACATGTTCTTGTGGGCTTTGCGAACAACATGTCAGTGGCAAACAGAAAATTCAGACTTTTGGCCAACCCACTCGGGACGTGATGTAATTTACAGATTTCCCGAATCCGGAAAAAAAACATCCGGTCCGGAGTAAAATCAGGGGTGGTGTCCGCCCATCTTTTTTGGCAAGCAAACGATGTCTACCAGGGGTTCCTCTTATCCGAGTAGGGTCTGGATGTCCGAAGTTGACATTTTTTCCACCCTTAAGTCACCACCCTTGAAGGTTTCCAAAAAAAGCATTGGCTAAAAATGATACACAGGGCCTTCGGTTTCCCTTATACACACACACGCACACACACACACATATATATATATATATATATTTCTCAAAATCAGGGATCCCACTTTTAGGAGGGTTGGTTTCGTTTTGGTTTTCCTTGAAAACCACGCAACAAGGGGATCCTAATTTTGAGAAACGCCAATATATGCGCCTGTATATAGATATATACACAACTTCACACATATGTTTCAGTTCTTTACATTCTTCTGGGTAGACGCCACGTTTTGATTATGACTCCGTTGGCAGCACCTCACTTCCTGACTTCCCGGGCTTTGCCAGGTTTTTTGGCCTTTGGACCGTTTGGCAAACCAAAAGCTTGGGAGCTGTGTTTGGCCACTCGGCGTTACCGCGCGCGGCGCGTCGGTGCAGACGCACTACGACCCGCTGGTCCGGGAGCCGCGCTTCTCGCGGGCGCGGAATGCGCCCTTATGGGAGATCCAGGCCTTGTCCTGCGCCCGGGCAAGGTAAAGGGGCCGACCAGTCTTTGGTGCATTTCGCCAAGGGATGTTGGGACTTTAAGTTTTTGCTGGCGAAGGGGTTGTCCATTGAACCACTAAAAGTTAAACTTTTAGCAGGGGAGCAGAAAACCTCCGAGCAGTTGCATAAGAACGGATCATGATCGTTAATTCCCATGATCCACATTTCGTTGGTTTGCTTGCTTTTACGGCCTAACCATGGCTCTCCAAGCAAGCCCTTGCATTAGCAAGAAGAGGTATGCTGTTTTGCTCACTTCCTGATTTTTGGACTTGATGTTGGGTTGGGGCCATTAGTTTGGGCATTTGTTTGGGGCATCTACTCGGGAAGTGAGTCGTTAACAGTCTTTTTAGCTAGCTGTCTTTTTGTTGCTGTGCCCTCCTTTTCCATTCTCTCCAGGGATCCTTCTCTTCAAAGGGGCCAAACCCCTGGAAAAAAACTGTGGTTTCTAAAGGGAACGATGGGTGAAGAGAATGGGGAATCAAACCTTGGAAACGCAGCAAATTGATCAACTTCTGAAGGGGGCAACTCGGGTAAGACTATGGTTTGTGTGTTGCACCTTGTTGGTGTTGAACAAAATCTATGGCTACTGTTTTTTGTTCCAGAGGACTCAAGCAATGGGATGGTGGAGAGAGTTTCAACTAGTGACTGACTGACGGACGGACCGACCGACTGACTGATTGATGCCACATGTCCCCGAATCCGCAAGGTTAACCCATCTGCACATGAAGCACAGTTTTCACTCGCTTTACCCCAGCAAGGTCGACATAAAATAGGCGTACAACATAATAGCCCATATTTGGTTTATTCTATTTATGGAGTCCTTAACGAGTGGGTGTAAGGATTCCAGGGAAGCCCAAGAACCTCAGGGCTCTCAACTACCCACCCCCATTGTACCTACCCCGCTTGGGGATGTCCGCACGTCTCAGGCCCAACATCGGCCCATCCGCCTTGCCAAATAGACAGACCGAACCTGAGCACCTGATGGCTCCGGTGTTCCTTTTGTTTCCCTTTAAGGCCGCCGAAGGCAAAGAAGGGGTACAGTGCCAATTCCAAAACAAGGCGACAGACCAAATGGAGTTTAGTTAAACTTATTGGTGTAGAGAGCCTTCAAGTTTCCCTTTAAACCCCACCGAAACAAATTGGGTACCCTCACATCAAACAAAATCTCCCCCGCGTTTCTCGGATCTCTCGGTGGCCCAAAGTCGACGATTTCACCCCAAAAGGTGAGCACTGGTCAGCCTTGATTTCCAGGTCCCACCCGGGGCAAGGGGGGGAACTTCCGGCTTCAGAAACTGAAAGGAATGCCCATTGACACCTTTTTAAGGAAGGCTACTTATACTTTTTCTATATACTCCTTTTATGGATGCTTTTTTCTCAACTCACCTTGCATTAAACAAAAAAGAACCCAGGTCCGATCCGCGCAGAGCTTTTTTTTTCTCCCGGCCCGAGGCCATGTCCATCCCACGGTGGCGTCTTATGCTTCGAAGCTCCTGGAGGCGGAGGCTTTCCAGGCGGAGCTGCGCGCCCTTCGTTACCCGCTGGCCCCAAGCCGAAGCTGCTGCCCTTTGTGCGGTGGCGAAAAGTTGGGGCAGAATTCCGCCCAACCGCATTTTGTACGGGACAGTTTGGGGTTAGTTACTTAGTTGGGGGTGAATTGGAGGTTGGGGCACGAAGTGAGGCATGAGGCTTCTCAGATACCCGGTGGCCCACCGAAAGCCAAAAGGGCCGGCGGGTTGAGTTTCACGTTGGCCCTTTTGTTTTGGTCAACCCCCCTGTTTTTCCCGGGGGTGCTTTTCCCTGGGTCTAGTGGGGAATCAGCTGTCGGCCATGTTGCTTTGTGACCGTGCTGCTGGACATACAGCGTTTCCTGGACACGCATCTCCAACATACCCTGGTCCTTCCCAGGGCCAAACACAGTTGGGCAAAAGTAGGCGCACTTCCAAGTGGGCGTTGGTTTAGTCACCCCCGGTACTGTACCATACTTGGATGGCATTGCGCCATCCATCAAACAGGCACCCTGATTGCCTTCTGGACAGAATTGTTTGAGATGGAACACGCGCATCAACCTGGTGGTGTCCAGTGGTACTTGTTTCTGGGGTTTGCTCCAAATCCTTTTTGTTTTTTGGGCAGGCATTCTGTGGATGGTTGCAAAAGACATTCAGGCAGGCATACTGTGGATGGTTGTGACATACATTTCGCACCACCTCAGAAACCATGTTTGAAGCGATTGCTTTTTCGGTATTTGCATTAATCGCATCATTCCAGGGTTTCTTATGTGGTGCGAAGTGGATGTCGTCCATCCACAGTATCAAACAGAACCCAAGCATGTTATTTGGTTTACCCATGTTTTGTTCGCCAAGGTTAGATTGGATTCCCCTTTTAGAAAGACCCGGAGGAAGAGACAATACCCGCTTGCATGGCATGGTGCTGGGTATCGGCTTAGATTTTTCCCGCTCGGTGGTAATATGCCCGGTTCTTGTGTATACTTATTTATAGCAGTGTTCATTGTGGGAAAAAGACGCGACATGGTTGGCGTCCCTTTGACTCTCTTTGAGGCACACTCCCAAAAAGACACCTATGTATGTATATCATCATACACGCACATACATATATATATATATATGTATACGTACATATCGACAAATATAATGTGTATATCTATATATATACACATATGTTCTGAGGCGCATCTTGCATGTGGCGTTACAGGACGTTGCCGGCAACCCCTTGGACGTCTTCTCCGTGCCCGAGCTGCTGGAGCAGTTCGCCTACCACTCCAAGGTTCGTAAGAACGCGCGGGTCCCCAGCGAAGAGGTGTCTCTGCCCGTGGTTCCACGCCACCAGCCCCAGAAAAGCATGGGTGTATATACCCTTGTAGTGGCTATGTGGCGACGGTATATCCCATCAATCTGCTGGGAGTGGACCCAATCTTCTCCGTTTTTTTTGGAAGTCCCGTGAACAGTCGACACCGTGCAGCTGCAGGCTCAATGCATGTGTTTTGGGGGCAAAGGCCAGATTAGTGCCCTTGCTTGTTTTTGTTGGCTTATGGGTGTCCCTGCAGAATCAACCAACCAAACAAGGGGGCCTTGTTTGCCTGCCTTGGGTTTCGCTTGTTGTGCTGTTCCGGCTTGCGGATTGAGGATCCTCCCATTTTGAACGACCTGATTTGGGTGTGTCTTTTCTTCCGGGCCGCCTTTCTGGGATTGTTCGAAGGGACAACGAAACGGAAGCCAGCTGTTTGAAGTGGTCCCCGTGTTGAGACATCCAACTCAAACTGATTTGGGTCTCGGCCTTCGATCGCCATGTCCGAGCAGTTCCTGTGAGCCAAGGGAACCCCCTCGCAGATCTCGGTTGGCTGCCCCCATTTCGAGACACAAGTCAAGCCCATGTGGGTTTCAGCAACGTACCCTCCCACCAGCTAGCATGGAAGTGCACAGAGCCCTGTAGAAAGACAACTTTCCTCTTGGAAAGGGCCTTTGTGCACTTCCAGGTTAGTTGGTGGGAGGGTATGTCGGACGAGCGAGGACAAGTCGGAGAAGTTCGGGCGAAGCCAAAAGAAGGCCGCGGTGAACTCTGAGACCTTCCTGAAGCTGAAGACCGTGCAGCCCCACGAGAGGCCCGAAACGAGCGAGCGGGGAGCGCCCGCTCGACTTGTTCCGGAGTCCTCGAGAACTGGGGAAGGCTCGGAACGGGGAAAGGCCTTCCCGGAAAATGTGGTGGTTGAACATGTCCCTCCCAAACCACGGCTTCTTAGCAAGAAGCTTGAACGACCAAACACGAAGCAGCTTTTCAGAGGGAGCTCGTCGCAAGCTAAACGGGGGAGACTTGTTGCGCAAGCTTATAGGATGGAGAACGTGTGTTTCACCAAAGATCTTTTGTTCAAGGCTCGCAAGGGCAGCGAAAAGGAAGAGAAAGGAGAGCCAAAGCGTCATTCGACGCAAGAAGGAATCGCCCATTCTAAAGCACCTTGTGAATCACGGCCTTTTGCATTCCTACTTGGATGTTCAATTTACTTAGTAGTATAAGTGGGGTAACTCGGGTCAGCCTCCTTGCAGCCCCGAATGTAGCCTACTAAGCTTGAACATCAAAGTTACTTGCTCAAACGGTTCAACCTTTCAGTTTCCTCTTGCCAATTTGGCCCCAAAACTGTGGTTCGGGTGTGTCAAAATACGGGTATGATTCCTTCTGGTTCCCGTCAAACCCATCGCAAAAAGGGAAGGTTCAGCACACCAACATACATTACACACATTTTCTATGCTACCCCCCCCCGAACTAAACAGGGGGAAAAACACAAAGGCGAAAGCCAAAACAAAAAAAGGCACCTTGGATTTCCAAGTCGGCGCGCCTGGCCGTTTGGTCAGGTTCTTCAAGGCCTACTTCAAGGACCCCACCGTCCAGGCAGAGCAGACGCGGAAGCGGAAGGCCAAGAAGCGGGAAGAAGAGTTGGTGGACGAAGAGGATGGCCAGGACGTTGGAAGCGGCACCCGGCGTTCGGGCCCCACTCGACTTGTTGGTTTTTGGTTTCCTTTTGCTTGGACATTGCCGACATGAAGATGTTTTGTTTTCATTGTTGCTTGTTGGTTTTTACAGGGAAACGATCTCATTGTACTACTTACTGGACATATGTTCTCCTTTTTTAAGGTGGGGGGTTAGGCAAATGTAAGTTTGTGGTGTTCCTTTGAAACCGCCAACAAAAAGGTGCCCTTGAAAAACAACCAGATGGGCGTCGTGCTTTTGTTTTTTGACAAAGTGGCAACGGTTTTCTTCTTGGCTTCCCCGAAGATAACCACCCAACAAAAAGGGTAAATGACATCTTTTCGTTGTGGTTTCGCTAAAGGAAACACAAAAAAGGTACGCTTGAAAAAGACGGCGTGGGTGTCGTGTTTCTTCAACCCCAAAAAATGCAACGGGTTTTCGTCGTGGTTTACTACCCTTGCAAAAAGACAACATGGGTGTCGTGCCTTTGTCATTTAGACCCGCAAACTGCACAGTTTTTGCAACCCACAACTTTTGATCACGCTTCCCGAAGAAAGCACCCAAAAGGGGTGCCCTTGAAAGCAAACCAATGGCTGGTCTCAAGGGAGTGGCCCCAAAGGCCACAAAACGGATCTTTTGGAAACAACTGGCTTTCCCATTAAAGCTCCAAAAGGTGATGTACCTCGAGCCCCCCAGTTAAAGTCGGACTTGTTCAACACGAAACTTTCTACATGCTGCACAGTTACTCCTTGAAAGCTTTCCCAAGGCTGGGGTTCAGAGCTGGCCGCTTTCCGGGAGGGTGTCGCGGGCTGTGGATACCGCCCAGGCTTATTGTCTTCGTTCCGTGGTGGCTAGAACCAAAGTAAACGCCGATTTTTTTCAAGAGGGTTGTTTTTGGTGTTTTGTACCGGATCGGACACGTGGATCCATGCTTTTCTTTGTTGGGGGCAAGGCCTTCTGCGGGTCAACTATGTTGATCCCATTTTGTTTGTTGTGTTGGTTATTTGTGTTTGTTCCTTTGAATGGGCCATTTCCTCTGATTTTGTATTTCCTTGATTTGGAGTCTGTTTCACTTCTGTCAGTTCATTTTCTCTTGTTCCGTATTTCGGCCTTCTTTGTTGGAGATGTCGCTGTTGTTCGGCAATTTTACATTTGTCTTGCTTTTGGCTTTTGGTTTGTCGGCTACGTCCTTCTTTTCCCGATGTGATGCTCCTTTTTTGGGGACGCCGAGTTTTCAAGCAAAGCATTCCGTGACAATGCAAGCAAGAGGCCACGTTTACTTGCACCGTGTCGGGAGTTGAGCGGTAGGCGCAATATTGCGACGCTGGAATTCTTTGCTGTTCGACCATTCCCGTGGTTCACAAGTTTAGGGACTTTTTCTGTTCGGTCAGAAAGTGCCCGCGAGCAAACTCTGGACTGGGCGTGCCTTTGCAATCCACAGGGGGCAAGTCCCTTTCGATGGCTGCTCTTGGGCAAAGACAGTCCTTTGGAAGGAAGGCTTCCGTAGCCCTTCTTCCATCCTTTGGATCCTGACGAGCTGTGCTTCTTAAGTTGGGTTTTGGAATTTGGTGTTGATTTGCGGTTTTCGCCTGTTTCGACACCACTGGCAAGTTGATTGTTTACGCCACTTTCAAGACATGCCTGCCATGGACCCCACAGGCGACAGGTAAAGACCCCCCCCCTTCCGAAGAAAGAACGAAAGTGGGGGTTTCCCTTCGAAACAATCCCAAAACAGGGCACCCTCAAATAACGACACACCACGGCTTTCTAAAAAATATGCACAGAAGTGGTTCCCTGCAACATAGGTTGGGGCCGAATCCCGCCTAAGGGTCCAGCTTTGCTGATTTGTTGGGTTTTTGAACCGTTCTTGAAGGTTTAACTCTCTTCCTGAGTCCTGAGTTCATGGACTTAAAGCTTTTTGGAAAGACCGTTTTGGTGGCCAACAAACTGTTTGGACTTTTTTGGCCCATCCGCTCAGGAAGTTCGGTTTGGTTGGGAAAGCCACCGCCGGAACACCTCCAAAGGACCAATTCAAAACTCGAGCGCAAGGACGCAGATGCCTTCTTTGACGAGTACCTGAAGGGCGAGATGCAGGATGCCGACGATGTGGATGAGGATGAGGATGAGGACGCCCGCTAGTGCCCCGTTTTTGCTCTCTCTTTTTAATGACGATCCCAAAAAGGGTGCTTTGCCATTACCACTTTGTTTGTCCTTTTTGTTCGAGGAGAACACCCACAAAAAAAAAAACAGGTGCCTTTTTTGCCATGGTCACTGGGTCATGGAAGGATGATGACGATGACATGGACATGGACGAGGATGGGGATGAAGACCAGGAAGAGAATGCCGGAGGCAGGCCGTGCTCGTGCGTTTCGCTCAGGTTGAGCTCTTTGAAAGTGACAAACAATACTAATTCGCCCGATGGAAGGCCGGTGGAGGGATTTACCCACAGGTGGCCTTCCACATGGAATCCACAGCTTTGGGAAAACAATATTTTTCAGCTTCATTTGTGGGAAGTCATGTTCTAGCATGTGGTGTCAAGTTCGCTTTAAACAGAAGCAGTTCCATGTGTGTTTCTTGTTGATGCCCCCGTTGGTAATACACAGGGTCGCCTGTGGCCAAACACCTTCCCATGGCTCCTTGCTAAAGTGCAAGATAGAGAGAGAGAGAGAGAGGGAGAGAGAGGCAGAGAGAGAGAGGGAGCAAGAGAGCAAGGATGTTGGAGAAGAGTAGTTGCGCATTTGCACCCTGATTTTGCCCATAGTTGTCCAGGCTGGGAGAATGTCGAGCGTTCTGGACTCCAGTTTTTGTCGAAGTTCTTAAAACAAAGCCTGATGACAGCTATCAATCCGCCCATAGATGATCAGATAACCGTGGTATTTACAAGGTCTCCAAAGTAGGCACTTCCAGAAAGGCGACGATTTTTGTTCTAACTACGCATGGAAGGTGGTGGGACTTTTTGTGCTTTGTGTCTTGAACTTGCAGGTGGAGAGACGTGAGGAACTCGTTCCCCACTACCCCCCCAGAAAGGTTATCAGAGTCAATGAGTTTGAAAGACGCCTTATCAGCAGAAGCTGTCTTCAGAACTTCTCTTGGGTGGGAACTTAGGTGTGGCAACCTCCAGTTAACTCAAAGTACCCGATTGAACCCTTGCGTCCAGGGTTGCGATGTTTGCTAACCTCCGCATACCATCAGTCAAATGCTTCACCACCACACCCTGGGACCATACCTCTTCACGTAAGCCCCGCATAAGAATTGACTAAGGCATACTTCAGGGGGCAATAACTAGTTAAGTGACATGTTTTGTTCTTTGATCTGGTCGAGGTGTGCATGTGGAAATCTTTGAATCGAAGTTGGTTGTTTCCCAGATTGGTGAATGACCGTCGTCGTCAAAATGCCTCCCGCCGGCTCTACCGAATCACCGAGTCGCGACACAAGATGAGCTTGAGAGAAAGCATAGCGGTGAGGTGTCCCCGTCATTCATTCCAAACACTCTATGGGAATTTGAGTGGTGATCAGATGGAGAACAGGCATAATCCCCGGACACCGCACCCCAACCCAACAGGTTTCAGAATTTGTTCGCCATGGGCACTGTGTGAGGTTTGAGGTCGATGATGCAATGAACAACACTTGCATGTCGGCGAATGAATCTAAACGTCGCGTTCCGGGCTCCGGGTTGTGCGGATGCATCTTCAAGTTCCTCACCCGCAAATTGGCGAATTATTTTTGTCACCCTTGTTGGTGCAGGGGCAATTAACGGGGAAACCCATGTTGGGGTTTCATTCTGCTATTTGGAGACCCATGTGGACTGGTGGGCTTACCGAGTTTCCATTTGCGGCTGTTTGGCGTGCACTTGTTCCCATCCTTTCGAGAAAAGTCGGGGTTATAACCAGGCAACCAGCTCGTCAGTTGCCAGGGCTCTTTTCATAAGGGTTTTCCGGCTGGCTTCAAGATTAACCTGGACAAATATTGACGAGCTCACCTGAAAGTACAACGAGCTCCCCATCTCCAGCTTGGAGACGTAGGTTGCCCAGATTAATGCGTGCTTTGTCGCAAACAGCATTCAAGGCCCGATGATGTCGACGTTTCGGCCTCTCGCTCGCAGGTGACAGCGATAGTGGGGATGATGGGGTGTTCTGCGAGGGTGATGCGGATGAAGATGAGGTCGCGCTGCAGTCAAAGGGCAAGAAGGAGCCGGGAGTATGAAGTTGAACGTCCGACTTCAACTTTGCAAGTCGGTCATGGGGTAAAAGCATGCGTGCAGAAGATGGGTTCCCAGGATCAATCAACTCTTGGTTGGTTAGTAGCAGGGCGGCGTTCCCATGTTAGAGGAGAACTACATAATCAACCTCCTGAAGCGAATATGTTTGATTTCCCTTGTTGGTTTCAAAGGGAACCTATCATTACAAAAAATGTGTTTTCATTTTGTCCAGGGGGCTTAAGCAAATGAAGGCACCCAGGTTTCAGGTCATTGCAAAGTAAAGACCTCGCCATGATCCAATGCTGACGCTCGCCCACCTTGTTGGTTACTGGATGGGGTTCTCTTCCGTGTAGCCACTCCCCTTTCCCTCACCTCCTTAGGCTAAGCTTTTTGGTTTTGGACCATTTTAGTTGTTGTTTTTTGTTTGGGGGAGGGCAATGACGCCTTGAGCCTTCCACGCAGAAGAATGGCACGACAGCGGGGGATTTTGTTCGGAAGCCGTGCGAAGAAAGCAGCATTTTGGCTGCTCAAACAGCTTCCTTGCCGGGCCTTTCCACCTGAATAGTCTTGCAATGGTTACTACTCAAGCAGGGCGTTTGACTGCCACGTCTAAAAGGCTGAATTATAAAATGGTCTTGCGGGGCCCGGAGTCTTCCGTGACTGGGAGGGCCGGAATCCCGATCTCCAAACATCAGGTTGACTGACAGGGGGAGGTCGCTCTCTCAGTGCAGAGCCTTTACAGTACTTTGTGGAGGCGACCATCCCGGGCGCATGGGTTGCACGGGCTCCAGAGGTCAGGTGTAAAAAAGCATTGCCTCATTTCCAAAGCCGTTATCACACCAGCGACTGGGTTCTGGACATGGGAAGCAGGCGTAGGGCACTGGTAAACATTCAAGCCTCCCTCTTCCTTTTTTTCCTTTTTTTTCCGGGGGTTGTTGCTTAACAAAACGCGTACCAACACAAGGGGGAACAACAGCAATCTACATCTACTGGCGATTGGAAGCACCTGGCAAGTTGTTTGAGCCCCGGGCGGTTGAAGCTGTTCTGCTTTTCGCGTTAGGCGAATGCTTCTAGGGGTTGATGCCCCGTTCATTCAAGTCAATTGGAAAGAAGGATCTCGGGCATAGGGAATTCACCCTTGGAATGCCTTGTTCTTATGCAGTGTCCTGTTCAAATTCCAGGGGGCACGCGGGGAAATAATGGAAATTGCCTATTATTTATTTTGGAGGGCCTGGAAAGGCCTGGAAACAACGGACATTTTCCGTATGTCGGGCGGCAGGATAGAAGAGAAACGCTGCGGGGCCTGAAGCGGAAGCAGAAAGACTCGTCCTCGATGCTGCGATCTTAGATTGCCCAGGGCACGTGTTTTCGACATTGAACCGATCAAGACAGCAGCAGACATTATGGAATTGTGTTGCATTTTGCTTGGATGTTAGGACTTTAACTTTTTGCCAACTAATGGGTGTTCCATTAAACCACTAAAAGTTAAACTTTTAGCAGGGGAGCAGAAAGCAACCGAGAAACTTATCAGGGCTGAAACATCAGAGGCTTTGGGGCTATCTTAGACGCGTGATCATTGTTTCGCTTTCAAGTTGTTGAACAGCATGTTCGTTTCATTGCATTGAAAACACTTTGGACCGGTAAACAGAACTGTTTGCAGGGGATCTCAGTCTGGTCCATCTTGGTTCGACCCGGAACCTGTGCAGGCTCGAACTCATTACCGGGGATTGCTTAGCCAAGGTGTGTGGAGCTGTTTCAAACCTCTGATTTGGTGTTCCAGGGCCTTTGTCTTGAGCCGTAGGATCTTAAAAAGGGCCGACTGTGGATGGACGAGCTCCGCCTCGCACCACCTAAGACGCTGCGGAATGATTCGATTGCCTTGCAAATGGCAACGAAGAATGGTTTCAACCCCTGGTTTCGCGGTGGCGCGACATGGGTTTCGCAAAACCATCCACAGGCCCGCAATGTGAATCATGGACCCTGCGGGGCGAACCGGGGATCGGGGCCCTGGACTCAAGGATGCTGACCACGTAAGGCTGCGGAGCAACATCTGGGCGCGAAATAGCATGTAGTCCTTGCCACCGCATGGCGCATGACTTTTTGTGTTTATTCCAGGCCCCTTCTTCTCAGTACCAGGTGAGGGCGAGTTGCCCGGAACCCCAACAGGTAGGTTTTCTCTTGAAAGTTCAACCGCATCTACTGAAGTGAGTTCTGTCGCATGCAGGGAGAACGAATCGAGAGCCTGGGAATGAGTTTCATATTTCAGCCGCCGGAAGTCCAAGTGTGCTCAAAGGTCAGGGGTGTTTCATTTGTTGCCCGCCTTCCCATCAGGCATTAAACCCAATATTGCCCTTTTACCCCTTATTCCAACCTCTACTGGAGGACCCAGTAACAGGTTGAAGTCAAGGGGCCGTTCAACGGGTTCCAATAAAGAAGCTCCAGCTTGCACCCAGGGACAATCATGCATAGCATAAGGCTCATGCGGGTTGGGGTGGCTTCCACTTGGATATTCAAACTACTTGGTAGGTTTCGACCATGGTAAAAGTGGGTGCAAACTGGGGTTGGTCCCCTTACCATGTCTCTAACCTACTTGACTAGCTTGAACCCCCAAGCAAGCCAAGACACCGCGGAGGTTTGCCTCCATTGACGACTACCAGAAGCTGCTCGATGCCGACGGATGAGCGGAGCAAAAAAGGCGGCCGCGAGGCGTCCAGGAACGCGTTGCTAGAAAACCGGTTCGGGTGCGCCTTGTCCGGGTGCTAAGTAGGCCATAGTGCTTGATGTTCGCAAAGGGAAACCAATTAAAAGGGGATCTGGAGTCTGTAGTTTTTTCAACACACCCGATTTAGCACCCAGACCAGTATCTAGAAGAACGTTGGCATCGGCTTTGTCTGGTTTTCGGGTTTTGCACACCTGGATTGGTACTCTTTGTCCTATAGGTTACGAAGGGTTCACAAAACAAATGCGGCCAGAGCATACCTTGGCACCATAAGCCTCTGGAAATCAGGGGCACTGGCTTCCCACTCTCGGCATCTCCCAACAAGATACGCCTTTTGAATCGGGCTTGGACAGTGACAAATCGGCACGAATCTGCATGAAAAACCAAGAGTTGAAACCATACATTTATGCATGAACCGCGTGAAAAACTAGAGAGTGCACCAAAAGCTGCGCGAATCTGCATGAACCGAAGGCGGAGGAACCAACGACTCCTGCAGACCAAACCAGTACTGCGTGCAGTGACAAACCACCTGCTCCGGTGCGCCAAATCCAAGTTCGCGGTGCCGCGGTGGGGGGGTGGGCACCCGTTTTTGCCTAAGGCTTCAGCCACGAAAATACGGGGGACTCAAGGGAGCTGTGTGAACATCTTCAGGGCTTCTCGAAATTACTGGTTTGGGTGGTTTCCCTTTAAACGACCACGTAGACGGTAATTTTATGGAGCCAGATTGATGATGAAGCTCCTTAGGTCAACAATGAATATTATAACCCTGGCTTTAATGGTTGGAACCCCGGCCTCGTTATCCATTCCTGGCATGATGTACTTCCATTTGCTTAAGAAGATGTTCAATTTTCCCTTGTTGGTTTTAAAAGGACCTTATCACTACTGGATATCATGCTCTTTTTTTCCAGGGGCCTGAGACATGAAAGTATACTCAGTCAGTATATCCCCCACCTAGACCTTCATAGCTTCATAGCTTCCAACTGTGGCTTTGAGGGATTCTCCAGGTTCATCCGCTCATTCCCATATGTCCACATATGTCCACATATGTCCCGGTGGCCTCGATCGATGTTTCGGGCCAACTCGATCGGAAGTGAGCCGTTTCGATCCGAGGCCTTCACCTCGCCCCAAGACCGCTGGAAGTCCACGCCTTTGCAGGAGCGGAAAGAGACGAGCTCAGGGAGATGTTTCTTTGCAAGGTGCTTTCTGTGTTTGTTTGCTTGCTTGCTTGCTTGCTTGTGTGTTTGTGTGTTTGTTTGGTTGGTTGGTTGGTTGGTTGGTTGGTTGGTTGGTTGGTTGGTTGGTTGGTTGGTTGGTTGGTTGGTTGTTTGTTTGTTTGTTTGTTTTGGTTGGTTGGTTGGTTGGTTGGTTGGTTGGTTGGTTGGTTGGTTGGTTGGTTGCGTGCGTGAATCCCCAAAAGATAGGAATGAATCTTGAGGTTTCTTTCAGGTGTACCTCTGCTGGTTGGACACAACATGACACAGTTGCCGATCGAATCAAGATGCGAACAGTGGAGCAGAGTAACTTGCCCAGACTTTCACTAGGTCCCCCAGTCGTGCCCTTCTCTCCCCTTTTTTGAGGGAGGGTTCCCCTACAAAATCGACTGCAGAAAAAAATCGGGTACCCCTTATTCTAACCTCTCTGCAGGATCTTGTTCACATTTTAGCCGACGGGTCCGCGATCGATCGTATGGCATTGGTCCCTCGCCCTGGGGTTGCGTGCTGTTCAAGACATGTTGGGTTTTCGGGAGCTTGGGGTTGTCAGTGGAATGGATGTGGTTGCAGTTGTACAGGGGATACGTGTGTTTCAAGGAATGTTAAGCCGCCAGTGCAACGGAAGGGTTTGTTCCACAAGGAATTTGGGGTTGCCAATGTAAAGGGGATAGTTCTTTTCAAGGGCGTCGATGTCAACGGGATTTTATTTCTATGGAATCTTGGGTTGCCAGTATAAATGGGAGGTGTTTTTCAGAGAATTTGTGGGTTGCTTGTGTAAAAGGGACGTGTTTGAGGGAAGTTTGGATTGCCAGAGTGCTTTGGTGCCAGGGACGGTTTGGGTTGCCACTGTTGCCACTGTAATCTGTAAGGGAGATGTGTTTCCATGAAATTCCGGGTTGCCAATTTAAGAGAGGTGTTTTGTTGTTCCCGGCAGTTTGGGATTGCCAGTGTAAAGGGCACGTGCATTTTCGGCAGGAAGGTTTGTGCTGCGTTTCCGTGTGCGTTGTGTGCGCGTGCGTGTGCGTGTCCGTGTGCGTGCGCGCGTGCGTGTGCTTTTGCGCGTCCTTGTGCGTGTGCGTGCGTGTGCGCATGTGTGTGTGTGTGTGTGTGTGTGTGTGTGTGTGTGTGTGTGTGTGTGTGTGTGTGTGTGTGTGTGTGTGTGTGTGTGTGTGTGTGTGTGTGTGTGTGTGTGTGTGTGTGTGTGTGTGTGTGTGCGTGCGCGTGTGCGTGTGCGTCTGTGTGTGTGTGTGTGCGTTTGTGTGTGTGTGTGTGTGTGTTGTGTTGTGTGTGTTGTGTGTGTGTGTGTGTTGTGCTGCGTTGTTGTGTTGTGGTGCGGCGTGGTGTGCTGTGGTGTGGTGTTGTGTGATGTGGTGTGGTGTGTGCGTGCGTGTGCGAGTTTTACAGGAGTTTGGGGTTGCCAGTGTAGAGGGGGGGTGTTTTGTGACAGGGACTTCTGGTTTGTCACTGTAGAGGAGGAAATTTCCGGGTTGCCAGTTTCAAGGGGGTGCATATTTTGGGTTGCCAGTGTGCAGTTGGTGGCCTTTTTCATAAAAAAATGGGTGCAGTTGGCGGGGTGTTGTTGGTCCATGGAGTGTTGGATTGCCAGTTTAAAGGGGGCAGTGTGAAGTTTCGGGTTGCCAGTGTAAAGGGGGGTTGTTTTGTGCCAGGGGCGTTTGGGTTTTCACTGTGGAGTATTTGTGTTTTCAGGGAGTTCCGATTCTAGTTTTAAACTGGGGTGGTTTTTTTTGATTCGGGGGATTTTGGGTTGTTGTTTTTTTTTTGTGGATTTTTGGGCGTGTTGTTGTTCCAGGGAGTTTTGTGTGTGTGTGTGTTGTCGAGGGATTCTGGGGTGCTCGTGTAAAGGGGGGGGTGTGGTTTCGGGTAGTGTAAAAAAATGGTGCGTTTGTTGCGAGAATTTCGGGTCACAAATTTAAAGGGGTGTTGTTTTACAAAAATGTTTGGCTTATCATTGTAAACCTGGTATATTTTTTGCCAAGGGTTTTCTGGGGAGTTTAAAGGGTGTGTGTTTCCTGCTTTCGGGCAATCATGGGGAAATTTCGTGGGCAAGCAGCATCCCACTTTGCGCCTCCAAAGGGCAGATTTTGTTGCCTGGTGCCGGGACATTTTGCAAGCCTTCCGTTAGACAGTCCATAATGTTTTATACACAGTTTCAAACAATTGTTTGGGAAAACAGGAGGCCCAAATAAACACGTCCATGTTGGTCCTAATGTTGCGCGTTTTACTTTTGCTGAAATGCAAGCCTTCCTTTTTCGTGCCACACATGGTTTTACCAAAGCGAACTAGAATGTAATTTTGGGCAGCGTTAGAGAGCCCGCAGGCTGCGCAATCTTGTCAGATTGCTAGATAGATGGATGGGTAAGTTGTCATAGTAGCAGGTGAACATGGATGCTGATTCATGATCACATCCACTTCTTCCAAGGGACATTGAAGTCGGCACAACCATCACCTCGAAAAGCTCCACTTCCATGATCGTTGGGAAAGGGGAAGCGCAACCAACAACGGTCCAGCCTTACCTTCGGAAGATGGGCTTTGGGAAGCGGGAAAGAGGCTGCAACGAGGTTTGGATATCAGGCGGTTTCAGGCAGTCTCATATGGAAACAGAACAGCCCGATAAACCGGATGTGCTGAGAGGGGTGTCTGCCAACAACAAAGCCAACACCACCTGAAAAAAGTCACGGAAACGACCCCAAGGAACAAGATCCCTGGTTGAGGCCCGCCAAGGAACAAGCGGTTCCAAGCCAACTTGCCACATGCTTCAGGCGCCCGTGGACCTTTACAAGAATATCTGCCAACGCCACCCGCAGTTGGGGATGACCCTTGGGAAAGCCGTTACTTGAAGCGGGTTTCTCGCCCAGAGGGGGCCATAGGGGGTCCAATGCCTAATTGAGCACGACATATCCCGTGGATTGCACGAACATGTCAACTTTCAGCACGGAAGTGGCTAGGTCCCCATTTGTTAAGGAAACCCCACTAGTTTCACCAAATCTGTTTTCTCTCATATGCAAAAGCAGGTTATCGTAGGGCGTATGTCATGGGCTTGTCTCAAAATAAGCCCGATCCCCCCAAAAAATAACCATTACCAAGTTTACCCAAGCAATTGGGGCGAGGAAAAGGGGTTCTCAAAGTTGGCTGACGGTTGGTTCCCTTCTTGTTTCCGGTTCAGTGCCAACCAAAAGGGGTCCACCACTTTGAGCAACCCGACGTCTGCTAACTCCCAGGACGCGGTGAGGGCCGGGCACACGGACTGCGTGAGGCTGCTGGCATTCGCCGGCGGGTCCCTAGGAGAGGCTTGGGATCGTCACCTTTTTGGGTGACCATCTGGCTGTGGCGAACTCAGAAAACAACAGGAATTCCAAAAATGGGTTGCCCGAGCGGTAAGTGGAAACATGGGTACCAAAACCTGCGGCTTGCCCCTCCCGTCTAATTTTGAGCCGGACCCACTTGAGTAAATAACAAGTTTAGACTTTGTTGGCTAATGCACTCAGGAAGTGAGAGGACGTGGAATTAAAATCCATCCGAGGGATTGGTTCGCTTCGGGCATGCCATTTAGGCAAACCTTTGCGATTTTCTTCCGTCGTTCGGAACATCAGGGGGACGACGGGGATGGGGCAATTCTGGTTGGCGACGCGGCGAGAGGAATTTGTGTCCCCTGCCAGTGGCCGGGAGCCAATGAAAGTGTTCATGGTTGTTGTTGGGAAACATTTCCCATGTTTGCTTCTTGTGGTTTAGT